GTTTAAAGAAAGCATGCCTAAACTTAGAATGATCTTCTGATTTTATCTGATCCTCTTTTATTTTTCAGTGGTTTTCACCTGCCTTGATCTCTTAGTACGATACAGTTCTTTATTTTACTTTATTTTTTTAAATTCTTTTTAAGATTTTATTTATTTACTTGTCTCAGAGAGAGAGAGAGCACAAGCAGGGCGAGTGGCTGTCAGGTGGAGAGGGAGAAGCAGGCTCCCCACTGAGCAAGGAGCCCAACGTGGGACTCCATCCCAGGATTGGGATCATAACCTGAGCCGAAGGCAGACACTTAACCGACTGAGCCATCCAGGCACCGTTCTATTTTAGTTGTAGAAATTTCTACTAACTTGTGTACAAATATTTTTCAAAAATACTAGGTTTTTATTCACATTTTTATTCAGATAATTTTTACAAAATCCAAAGCTGTTTGCAGCTCTGTGGAAATTAACGAGTTTTCCCCTTCTCCTTCTGTAGAGTTTTACTTGCTTAAATGTATAAAAGGCTCTAACACTGGGTCTCAAAAATGTCTAATGGTCAAAAAATGTCACTGGCTTTTGGTATTTTAAGACTTTGATTCCCTTTTTTCCTTTCTTTGATTTGATTTGTAGATCCTGTACACCATGGAGTACTTTACCTCCTCCTTCTCACTGGATATTATATTGTATTCTGAAACAGCAGTAAAGCATGTTCAGTCACTTTCTTTTGAATCCTGGGAATGAGCTCCAACCAAATGGCAGCTAGCCCCAGCTTTTTCTTCAGCCAAAATTACATCTGCATTTTCCATTACCTCACTTCCATGCTTTTTGCCCTCATTCTTTTTTATATATTTAAAATTCCTCTAACATTCTTTAATGGTAATTCTCTGAGGTTTACTTTAGATCACTTGAGAACTTGTGCTATAAAAAGGCTGGGGCTAGGGTTACATTAACTTCTTTACCCTGTTCATAGTCTTTCTTTAAGAGCTTTTATCTTAAAAATAAATAATGTGTAGCAGCTATACAGATCTACATTTTAATTGTAAGCAGAATCTGATTCCCCCAGTTCCAGCAGCTTTGCTGGTGGCATTTCTGGTTGTTGATGTTTCAGTAATTGCAGCAAAAACGTTTTACCATTTTTTTGAGCAAACCTTAATGGGAAAAGAATAATAAAAATCTTAGTAACTGACATTTATTTAGTACTTAATTTTGTGTGCCTGACTCTGTTTTACATAAATTATCTAATTAACAGTTTTATGAGGTAAGTGATACTATCATTATTCATATTTTACAAGCGAAGAAACAGAAGGGAGGTTAAACTGACTTGCTATAAAGATACACATTATAACTATTTCATTTATAGTTCAAAGAAAGTATTAGGGCATAGTACTAGTATTTTGGGAATTTGTATTGAAATTAAAATTTTGAGTTTGTCAGTCTTCCTATAATCATCTATAAAATTACAGCTTAATAACTATTAACCCCACTGATAAAATTAAGTGAACTTATTTTTAAATGGCTTTAGGGGATGGGGGGAAGGGACTTGGCATTGTAAGTACCATCATTCTTTTCTAACTTGGTTATCTTTCACAGACACTAAAAAGACTAAAATTTTGTTAAGCTATAATTTTAACTTACTATTAAGTATATAAAAATCATTAGTACAGGTTTATAAGTAATTTTGAACATTTTCATAATTTCAGAAGTTTTTATACACTTACTATATTATTACCAGTAGGAGTCCTAAGAAATAAAACACTAGAAGAATTGGCACTCTCAGGGCACCTGGGTGACTCAGTCGGTTAAGCGTCTGCCTTCAGCTCAAGTCATAATCCCAGGGTCCTGGGACGGAGCCCGATATCGGGCTACCCACTCAGCAGGGAGTTTGTTTCTCCCTCCCCCTGCTCATGCTTGTGCTTGCTTGCTGGCTGTCTCTGAAATAAATAAATAAAATTTAAAAAAAGAAAAAAAGTATTAGCACTCTTATGTCATGACTCATAGAGTCAGGTGAGCACTAGACTGAAAATTTGCTTGTTATTCTCTACCAGGCTTGGAGACTTGAGGATAAGTTTATTTGTAGATACCTACTGAATTTTAAGGCATTGTCTAATGTTAGCATTATTCAGAATTAGAAGTTTTTAAAGTCTGTGTCAGAGATGTCAAGTTTCCTAGACATTGATGGTATCTCCCATTGAGTACAGAATAGCATCTAAATAATTCTTAGGATAAGTTTCATTTCATTTGTTAAAAATAACTGAAGGGGTCGGGGGTGGGAGGTTAGGGGAGCTTGGTGGTGGGTATTATGGAGGGCACGTATTGCATGGAGCACTGGGTGTGGTGCATAAACAATGAATTCTGTTACACTGAAAAGTAAATACATAAATAAATAAATAAATAAATAATAAAAATAACTGAATCCTTTTGTAAACCAGCTCCAAGATTACAGTTCAGTCATATTGAAGGTCGAGCAACCATGTCTTTATTCCTAGATGACATGCAAAATAGCTAGCTATTGGACACAAGTGACCTATTTAATCTCAGAAGATCCTCATTTGGCTGAAATTCCTACCATGAATATCCATCCTTACCTTAGTTTTTCTTTATCTTTTCTTACAGTCTGGTTTCTTCACTAACTGCCCTAATAGCATGGCATAGCTCTGTTAGGTTTGCAAATGAAGATCATGGATCAAATAATTTTATGTCTGAAAACTTGGGTAGTATTTCTTTTTAACACATTTGTTGATCACCTGCTCTATGCAAGGCACCATGGTAAGTGTGGCAGAAAGTACATAGATGAATAGTAATAATCTGATAGCCAAAGTCTACGCAGTCTTTACATTTTACTATATATACTACCTCATTTGATTTTTGTAGTAACTACGTAAGCTAGGTACTGTTCATATCCTCATTTTATAGATAAGAAAGTGGAGTATAAAAAGCATCCGAGGTAGCATGGCTAGGAAATTGATAGAATTAGGCTACAAATCCAAGCAGTACTGACTTTAGAACCTACCCTTAGCTGTCATACAACTCTGGTGCTTATTTTCTGATCTCCAGGAACTGCAGAACTGAGCTATATCATGTCTGCAAAAGAGAACAGAGTGGGCCTAGTGGCCAAGACAGTTCAGCATTTAGCCCAGTTTTCTAGTTTGTATGTGGACTTCACATCATTCTAGTTTAAGTAATATTATATTCCTTTTCTGTGAAAATTCTGTAAGGCTTGCCTTTGATCCGGTTTTGGATGTTTAAGTGAAATGCTGTAGGTCTGTCAATAAATGGAATACCCTAAGAAAATTTTACTAAGATTTTTTTTTTTAATTTTATTTATTTATTTGAAAGACAGAGATCACAAGTAGGCAGAGAGGCAGGCAGAGGGAGAGGAAGGGAAGCAGGCTCCCTGTTGAACAGAGAGCCCGATGCGGGGCTCGATCCCAGGACCCTGGGATCATGACCTGAGCTGAAGGCAGAGGCTTTTAACCCACTGAGCCACCCAGGCGCCCCTTTACTAAGATTTGATACAACAACTAGATGCCTAATTTGTCCCAGAAATCTTTTTTTAATATTTTTAAAAATTTATTTATTTGAGAGAGAGAGCACAAGCAGAGAGGAGGGGCAGAGAGAAAGGGAGGAGCAGGCTCATTGATGAGCAGGGAACCCAATTTGGTTCTCTGTGCCAGGATCCTGGGATCATGTCCTAAGCTGAAGGCAGACGCTTAATTGACCGAGTCATCTGGGGGCCCCATCCTAGAAATCTTACACCAGATTTTTTGTTTTTGTTCTGGGGGTGGTAGGAGGGACTTCAAAACCGTTTGAAGGTGACTGTTAAAACAAAGAATACAAATACTATAAGGTTTTGATGTTCTCTTAACCTTCTTTCACCAGAATTTTAATTTTAACATGACAGAAAAAATACTGGTCATGTTGGTGAGCTTGAGTTGTTTAAATGGTCATCTTCAGTTCTGATTGGGTTTTCTTTTTGCTTAAACAAAAGTCATGAGATTTCTCTAAATTTTTAGTTCATGAATGAATTCTGGAAGGAAATTATTCCAGAAGATTAGTAATAAAATTGTTACATCCAAAGGTGAATAAATCTCTCTCTCACACACACACACACACACACACACACCATAAAATGGAATTAGCGAATTGGACTAGCTAAACCCCTGTGGATTCTTTTCTGAAGCTATTGAATCTCAGTATTGGGAAAATATCTAACAGTTCCTTGAAATTGTATTAGTCCCGTCCATCAGTATGCAGTAATGGCTTGTAAAGCTCTCCAAGCTTTCTGACTTTCGAGTAGCAGATTTGGGGGTAGGGTGAGCAAGAAAATTAATAAGCTTATAGTTATAATTCAGATATGAAAACCTTTAGCTTTTTAAATTTTTGTAATACCAGTATTTTGCTGATACAACACCACAAATGCGTTTCAGGAAATTTTGATGTTCAGTAAATCATATGAAGTTATACTAAAATAATTTGTCTATTTCTATTTTTGTAAACTGACTATTTAAATATTGCATACATTATTTTTGTTTTAAAATATATTAATACTGTGGGTCACTTAATTCTTTTGGGAAATCGATATATAATATGTTGTCAAGAATTCAGATATAATCATTTCATGTAAAAGGCACAAATTCAGTTTGAAATAACTTTTATTCAATGCAAAATGTATTTTCTTTTGGCAAAATTAGAGTTTTCTCTAATTTCCTGTCTGTAACTTTATAAATAAAATGTAATACTTGGCTTGAAATCTTAAAATTATTTTTCAATTGGAAGTTAGAGCAATCTCATAAAGTTTTTAAATAAATTGTTCTTGAACATGTATTCAGTTTTGATTTAAAATAAAGCTAAGCTTTGTTATACATTGTGGCAAATATTTACATTTTATAAAACAAGCTTTACCTGTATTTAGTCAATATAGTTTTTAAAATAGGGTTATGGGTACAAATAACCTTCTGCAGTATATTGAGGAAAGATGAAATTACATTCATAAGTCCCCCTTTATAGTATCTGTAGCAATGAATTGTGCAAAACAATATACATGTAACATTTACATTTTTAGGAACTGAAAAATACAGAGTTCTGTGTCGTTTAAGTTGGAGACTGTCTCTCTTCAGTCAATAGGCTTGATCATCATCTGAACTGCTCTCAAGGAATATGACCCGCCTCGATATTCAGCCCAGAAAATTCCATCTTGGTACTTGCTTCTGTAATGACCTCCTCTGTACCATACTCCATTTAGGTTAGAATGTGCACAGGCATTGTACCACCATCCACCTTTATGAAAATGGGCACAGTTTCCTTTGAGGAAAAAAATAGAGATAGCAAAGTAAAGGTTTCTTCTATGTGCAGTACTCTGCAAACCATCAAAACTTAAGCTACCTTTGGGACTATTTGAGTTTTTCTTACTTCAGTTACCTTTTATCTGTGTGGTTTTGTTTCTTCATTCATTCTGTTACTGCTCCTAAAGTATCAGCTACTTGAAATACCACTTGAATTGCCTTTATCTTGCCCTTTGCTTGTTTACTACTTGCTTTTTTTTTTAATTAAGTGATTTAATTTTGGGGTAGCAGGGTAAATAAAACACAAATAGCGTTTGTGAAAGAGAAAGAGGGAGAGGGGAGAGATTGGGAAGGAAAGATACAGAGTTGCTAAAAGTAAATTTGGGAAAATTCAATTATTAAAATAGGACAAAATAATATAAAAGAGAATAGCCCTACCAGTGGTCAGATGTGTTTCTGTAAATATGGTGTATACTTTGGTTACATCTCTCTCTTTTTTCCTCTTTTGCCATTGTAAAATAGGTTAACGTAGAGACCTACATGCTTCTGGCCAAGATACAGCTGAAAAGTAGATCAGTTTTCAGGAGGGATATCTCTTTATCGGGGCCACAAATCTGGGTTAAAAAGGCAAAAGCCTGGGTGGCTCAGCCGGTTAAGCATCTGCCTTTGGGTCGGGTCATGATCCCAGAGTTCTGGGATCAAGTCCCACATCCTGCTTCTTGCACAGTGGGGAGCTTGCTTCTCCCTGTCCCTCTGCCTGCTGCTCCCCCTGCTCGTGCGCACTCTCTCTCTGACAAATCTTTTTTTTTTTTTAAAGGAAAAAGTATATGAAAATTAATGTTAAGAGTTTTTAAAAGACTTTGTCTATCTATCTATCTATCTATCTATTTGTTTGAGACTCTGCTTGCACAAACAGGAGGGGAAGAGGTGCAGAGGGGGAAGCAGGCTCTTTGCCGAGCAGGGAGCCCCATGCAAGCTCAGTCCCACGACCCTGAGATCACGACTTGAGCCAAAGTCAGATACCAGCCACCCAGGTGCCGTAGTGTTAAGTGTTAAGTCTAGATTGCCTAACTGATTTTAAAGAGAATATTAATTTCCCCACTGAGTAAAGCTTTTTTGCTGTCCTACCACATGTTGCAGTCGTACTATTCCCTTCCATGTAGGTACTAAGAAATGCCTTTATCAAAGCCATATCCCCAAATGGCTGGCCTCCTTCACTCCCTTCAGGTCTTTATTCAAATGTTACCTTCTCAAGGTAACCTTTCTCAGCCACTCTGTATAAAATAGCACCCATTTTACCCCCTGCTGCACATCACTCACTGTTCCCTCACGGGTTTTATTTTTATTAGGGTACTTGTCACCACCTGACAAATGATTTTGTCTCCTGGAGAATAAGCTCTAGAAGGGCAGGAACTTTTTTCATTGCTGTATCCGTAGCACCTGCAACAGTGCCTGGCATGTGGTTGGTGTTTAGTTAGTAGTAGTTATGGATTTCAGGCATTGTTTTGTTTCCAGGTGAATTGAGTTTTTGCTGTTTTCCCCCCAAGCCCCCATCCCAGCCCCTGGTTGGAATGATAGAACTTTGCGTTTCATAGAGTTCATTCACACTTTGGGCTTGCCTTATAGAAGAGATACTAACCTTTTGGCAGCTTATGTAACCTGTGATTGAGTCCAAAATTAACTTTCTGGAAAGATTTTTAGTACCATATACTTTAATAGCAGGGTTCTCTGTAATGCATATAGAAGTTAGTCGTTCTGCAAAGAATACACATCAGTTTTTCTTACTCACCTGCATACATATCTTTATCTCTGTCCAGTGTGGTGAACTGTTTACCATTATGCCACATCATGGAATCCCCTGCATTTCCCTGGTAAGTTCCCAGACGCAGTCTAAAGAATTCACTTTCAGGTTCCAGGCGAAAGCTGCTATATTCTGCATAGACTTTTTTGTCACTCCAGTCTTCTAATTCAATCAACAACTTATAGTTATCTTGATTGCTAAGCATATAGATATTTTCCAGTCCAAGCCAATATTCTCCATCAATGTTTCCAAACCCTTTCTGTTAATAAACAAACAGCATGAGGGCATAAATAAGTGTAGAGATAGTAAACTTCTTTACAGATAAGTTTTAAACCTTTGATAAATACTCACCATTTAGTGAACTTCCCTTTTAATAGGTTACCTAATTTTTACAAGCCCCACATAGTCATTTTGTTTTGTTTTGCTCTCTCTTACTTTGTCTATTCATTTGAACAGCTAGCTTCAAACTTTACAGATCAGAAAAAGGCAAAAGAGAATGAAAATTATTCCTAGCTACTAAAAACATCAACTAATAAGCTACCCAGATCTCTGAAAAGGATTCCTAATCTCTCTCATACACAAAGAGCCAAAATTTTCTTTCTAAGAGTATATCTGTAACTGTCCCTCCCCACCCTGATAGCCAAACAAAAAGGGTATTTAACATCTTATGATCACTCAGTAAAAATGATAGTATTCTGTTGTTAAAGCACATTGTCTTCTTTAGCTGTGTTACAATTAAATATCAGAAGATATAGCAGTAATCTTCAGAGTTCCACCTTGGAAAAGTTGTTGACTTTTTTAAAAAAATAAATCAAGGAACTCTTCTGTTTCCATAAGCGTACGCCACGGTAGGTAAACAGCACAGCCTAAGGCTCAGTAAACCTCATCTTAACACTACCTGTGTTCTCAAGAAGATTGTTTTGCAGGACTTTTTTTCCCCTAGTTACTTGCTTAGAAATAACTTCTAACATGGATGTATTAATGTCTCAGTTTTAACTGCCAGTAAAATGTCACCAAAAAGTGAGTAATCACCTGACTTATGTAATTCTGAATGAAGAATTGACCATGTAGAAAATGTAATCTCACCCATCTGCCATCCTTGAACTGGAGGGTGTATACCACTCCTACAGTTAGCATGTAAACATCAAAATTATTAACAAGGACTGGTTGCTTACTTTTCCAAAATGACTGCTGCACGGCTCTGGTCCCGTGTGACAGTCAGGGGTACGTTACTTCCCAGCAGCACCAGCCTTTGGGGTAAGCAGTTTACAACATGAGGGGACAGTTATCAGAGGTAATCAGTCCTAGAGAAATGGTCATTTTTTGAAGTTCTGTAGTTCATATTGCTTAAATACAGTTGCTGATCATAACGTGGTCATAAACAAAAAAGCAGTTGTCTTTTTAGAAAATGGAATCAGCAGTAGTCTTCGCTAAGAATTAAATATATGTATAAATCATCCAGACTGAAAACGGGCAGTTGAAAGGATAACTTCAGTTTCCCTTTTACCTTTTAATTTTTACTTTAAAACTGGAGAGTAGATAATGAAAAATATGTGGATAGTTATTTTTAAACTGTATTATTTATTTGCACAGAATGGTTACTTCTATAAGAGCTGCTATGTTCCACATCCCTGATCGGAATCGCTGATTTACCTTATAATTTTCCCAATTTCTGAAGAAGTTGACAGAGCCGTCTGTTCTTTTCTGAATAACAGTCCAACCCCCAGGATCCAGACTGTTCTCACACCATAACTGTATTGGTCCATTGCTGTTTTCAGGTTTAATCATATAAATCCCACTGACTGAATATCCAGCTTCTTTTGCATGCTGACAGTCTTTGAATGGTCCTATAATGAAAATGTCATTGATTACCAGGAAACTTAATAGGAACAGAGCCATATTGAGATAGTTTTTAATCAAAAGTCTTCCCTTTATAGTTTTCTTTATAAAGATACCACTTTTTATCTGTTATATACACAACACCATAAAAGTTTAAGAAACCAAATAAAAGAATTACCCCATTCCCACTATATGGAAGATTAACTTGTTTCATTTTCCACTGTTCTTGTGTTTGTCCATAGAAAAACATTTTTATATTGTCATCATTCTGACACACATAGGAAGTTGGATTCTGTCTTTTAACAGAAATTGTGGTGGGACTGCAGTCATTCTGACACTTTTAGTAGCTGTAATATAAATTTTTAACATTGATACATCATTGTTTATTCCTTTGTCATTGGATATTGAGGTTTCATCTGATTTTTGCTATTATAAAAGTATACAAAGTGTCATCTTACTGGCTTCTTTTTTTTCAAATAATTACTTAACAAAAATGCTGTGGGATTGATCTACTGGATCAAGAGGGTGTGAACACTTTTATAGCTCTTCATAGTGCCTGGTTTACAGTTTCCAAAATTTGATTTCTGTGGAACACACTAATCCCTTGAGGTACTGAGTGAAAATGGCCAACCATGGTCAAATAAGTTTTATTATTGCTAAGTATTACATTACCCTTTTGGAAACCCACAGTGTGCATGCACATATGAAAGATTAAGAAGCCCTGAAATAAACCAGAGTTCCCCAAACTTAAAGAATCTGTTAACTTTTTCCCCTCATTCAACAGTCCATAAGAATACACTTCAGGAATGTTGGCAAAATGCCTTTCTAAAGAGTTGTATCAACTTATATGACGAACAGTAATTTTCTTATTTAGTCTACACAATGACCCTGTGATCGTTTACAGATGTGCTATAGATGCAACAGTTAACTCGTCTAAGGTCCTGTATCTTAGAAGGTAATAAGCCCTAGACGTAAACCCGTTCTTTCTAATCCCAGAGCCCATGCTCTGAACTGCCGGCTACATTTGCTCTTGTGTTGTTTTGTAGTTTTATGGGTTCCCTCCCAATTTTTAATACATGAGTAAGTTCTTCATAGCTTTTAAAATGATAAAACATTTTGTGAGATGTTTTGTAGAGGAGCTGACTCTTGGACTTGTGATTTCCACATTTTTTGGATCTGAAGAAAGATTGCTTCTAAGTTTTACTGAACAGTCTATAGTTGCACCATTCTTCAGTGTTTTGATCAATTGTTTTTTATAAGCATGTAAAAGTATTAAGTGATTCAGAAATAAGAATTACCCCACAGATCTTTTAGAACAACACAAAGTGTAGAAAACCCAGTTGTCAAACTTTATATTTTACTAGAAATATTTAAATTTTGACACATGCAATTTTTAAAAATTATGTGAAAATAGAATTTAGTCAAGTAAAGCTCATACAAGAAAATCCTCACTATAATGCTAATGGGATTGTTGAAATTTTAAGAAATGTGTTATCTACACTGTGCCAGTATATACAGGATCCATTTGGGACTAATTGGGGAAAGATTCATCTCATTAAATAAATAATTACACAATTGCATCATTAGAAGGGGTTCTTAGAGACTGAACTCTTTCCTCTAGATTGCTCCTTGAGGATGGTGACTATTTTCATTTTTCTTCTGACTGCACATTATCAGTGTTTTAACTATTGGCGGGTAATCAGTGATTTTTTTTCAATCGAAATTCAGTTAATTAACGTATAATATATTATTTGTTTCAGGGGTACAGGTCTGTGATTCATCTTACACATCTTACACAGTCTTACACAACACCCAGCACTCACAACACATACCCTCCCCAATGTCTGTCACCCAGTCACTGCCTCATGGCCTCCCCGTCCCCCTCCCCCCACCCCTCTCCTCCAGCAACCCTCAGTTGGCATCCTAAGATTAACAGCCTCTCGTGGTCTGTCTCCCTTTCTGGTTTCATCTTCTTCATTTTTTCCTCTCTTCCCCTGTGATCCTTTGCCTTGTTTCTTAAATTCCACGTATCAGTGAGATCATAAGATAATTGTCTTTCTCTGATTGACTCATTTCACTTAGCATAATACCCTGTAGTTCATCCACGTCATTGCAAATGGCAAGATTGCATTTTTTCTGTCAGTCTTTTTTTAAGTAAATGAATTAATTAACTTGCCTTCATGTTTTAAATACTTTATTTATTTATTTGACAGAAAGATCACAAGTAGGCAGAGAGGCAGGTAGAGAGAGGGAGGGAAGCAGGCGCCCTGCTGAGCACAGAGCCCAATGTGGGGCTCGATCCCAAAACCCTGAGATCATGACCTAGGCGGAAGACAGAGGCTTAACCTGCTGAGCCACCCAGGGGTCCCGCCTTCACATTTTAAATACAAGACAATTGAAAACCACAGACAAAATCAAGTGATGATCTATTTCTCTAGCCCACATTTTTTTAAAAAAATATTTTATTTATTTATTCAACAGAGATCACAAGCAGGCAGAGAGGCAGGCAGAGAGAGGGAGAAGCAGGCTCTCCGTTGTGCAGAGAACTGGATGCGGGGCTCAATCCCAGGACCCCGAGACCATGACCTGGGCTGAAGGCAGAGGCTTAATCCACTGAGCTGCCCAGGCGCCCCTCTAGCCCACATTTTAATGTTTTATCGATAATTTCTGTTTCAGAGTTTTTATGATACAGTGACCAAACACTACATAATACTAGTAAAAATTTTGAGAAACTACTTGTAAAGACTTAATGCTGTCTTTCTTGGGTTACATTTATTTTAGGTATTGAATTTTTTAGTTCTAGAGTTTCAGTTTGTTTTTGTTTTTGTTTTTAGGTAGGCTCCATACCCAGCATGGAGCCCAGTGCAGGGCTCAAATTCACAACCCTGAGATCTGAGATTGAGTTGGTTGCTTAACTGACTGAGCCACCCAGGCACCCCTCAATTTGATTTTTTTAAATAGTTTCTAATTTCTCTTCTGCAGTTTCCAAGCTTTCATTCATTACAAACATGTCCTTTAAGCTATTAACAACTACTTCAAAAATTCTTGTTCCTTCTGTTCCTAGTTTTCTAAGCGTTTTTATCATGATGGGCTTTGGATTTTGTCAAAAGCTTTTTATTTATCTACTGAGACAACAGGGTTTTCTTTTTCGTTTGTTAATAGGTAAATTCTGTTGATTACTTTTTGATGTTAAACCAACCTTGTATTTCTGGGATAACCTTGACTTGGTCATAGTGTATTATTATTTTTAAAGGTTGCCAGATTTGCTAAAATTTTGTTGAGAATTTATGCTTCTGTATTCATGAAGATATTGGTTAGCCTGTGAAAGCTTATAAATGGGTTCTTAAGCTAGGGAAGACTATGATAAAAGTAACATTTTTGAGCTTATCAGACTGGCCATAAGTTAGATTATACTCCATTAAAATTCAGTGTGAATTATTTTTATATTATCTACCTTATCAGTTACTGAATCTAAAAGTATTCAGAACTTTTTACACAATACAGAGTAGGCATCATTATTAACTGTTAGTAGTCTTTTGTCCTTTGTTGCTATCCCTAACGTACAGCAGTAACTCCTTTAATAAATATATGCTTATTTAATAAATTTAATATGGCTAATCAAAGATGAATGTATAGTCATGTCTATTGTAGAAAATACTGTATTCCTGAAAACCCTCATGTTCTATAAAATATTGCACCAAAATTAACAGCTGATGTTAGCTGTTAAATACTCCCAATGAGCCAGTATGACCTCTTTGTTTTACTGATACTCTCCTTCTTTTTTACCAGTCATATATGAGCTACTAAACATTACAGAAACATACATTGTAGTCAGGTAAGAGAAGGATAGAAAGGTTGTAGTTCGGATAGGATGAAATTTATAGAACTTTAATTTTATATGTGGGAGTGAAATAGAAGGAAAAGTAAAGTCTTAATTTCCGGGTCCATTCTTGGATTGCTTTGTGTAGTGCATGGTAATATATTCATTTGTTTACTCATACAGCTCTCCATGGCAAAGATTGTATCTTTTCGTTGTCTTTCCACAGGGGAGGCCCACTTAGACACTCAAATATTTATTGAACTTGGTAATTCCTGGAGCCACCGTGGTTTCCAGAATTTCCTCAGTTGTGCATTTTTTCCAGATGTGTCTATCTGCATCAACAATAGGCTAGAAAATTTTAGTCTTGGGTGGTAAAGAAACAACCGTAGAGTCAAGTGGGAAATGGGGGAAATGGCAAGTAAAGAGAGAATTCCTTAACAATATGGTAGGTACTTTGATGGAGTTCTGTAGGGCACATGGGACACTGGCCAGAAATAACTAATCCAGATTAACAGAGATAAAAGTCTACTTATATGTGAGCAGAATCTTGAAGATTGAAGAGGAGTTAGGCCTGTGGGGTTAAGGAATCTGATCACGGCCACACATGAGTCACCGGAGCTGAGGGATGGAATCCAAAGAGAGCTTGATGTTACAGAGGAGTTACAGTCTAGTACGTCTGAGATGTAATGGCTTAGGGGGACACTTGGAGCCCTTGAGGTTGGCTGTAGAGTTGAAATTGATTCTTCAGTGTAGTCACACTTTTTCTAAGTTGTCACTTCCGGAATAGTCAAGGATACCTGAGGAATATTGCTCTTATTTTGAACTCTGTTGTAGTTAATGCACATATGAAGTAGTCTTGTTGGAATCCACATAAATACCTCTCATTTCAGAAATTTGCTTATTCTTATAAATACCACCTTTATATTGTTTGTTTTATGAATGTCATTCTTCTAAATATTTGCTCTGCACTCATTTAATTATAGTTTTGACAATTTACATTTTATATTTAAGGATATATTCAGCAGTTGGACTTTCATTAGGTTATTTGAATAGTTTAAAATACTTAGAAACATCAAGCTTTTGAGTGTTAAAAGTATTTGTAAAATAGTATTTGTTTCTTCTCTGCTATTTAAAAGGCCCTTGGATATTTAACCAAATTGGAGAGTTTTGGGTTTCCTAAATCCTGCT